AACGGCCGTTCACTAACCAAATACGGCGAACAACGGCAACTGTTTACGTTAGTCACATACGCCATCAGTAAACGACGATTTACAGCATATTACCGCAATCGTACACAGTGCCCGTAAAAGTTCATCGTAAACTACTAACTTAACAATACGGTGACCGTATACTCTGGTCGAAAAATAACGTAAGGCATCGTATACGTCAGCCGTTTCCGGTGATTATTTATAACAGTCGTATATGATGCTTTACGGCATACGACGGCGATTGTAAACATTGACCGTCAAATATCATCGGAAACGACTAACGTGGCAAAACGGCGACTGTACACGCTGGTATTATTAAATGTCGTAAAACAGAGTGTAGGGGAGCAGTATACGCTAGTCGCTTACGGCGATTGTAGACGACATTTTATGATGATTTACGGCCGATGTAAACAATTGCCATAAACAGTCACCGTGTACGACTTCTGTAACAATATGACGACTGTATACGTTCATCGCATAATATCGCGACGCACCGTCTTTGTTTATTGCAATTCGTTCGATATAGAATCACTATTTGTTATTATATTTCATCAGAAACGATCTATCCATAGAGAGTTACGCCAGCACTCACACATACGGCAATCGATCGATACACCGCTTCCAAAAACCCTAGGATACGCCCGACCATCGCTATCACCTATGTCCACAATAAGCGAAAAAAGTGTCTCTTAAACCGGATTAGTCAGTTTCAACTGGTCCACGACACCCTGATTTGTCAATCTCGATGAGGGAACTGGAAGAAACCCACACATATATCCATCAATAGATAGAGCACTCTCGATAACCCTATGATCGGCTCGAACATGCCTATATGTTGTCCTTATAATAAGAGGGAAGGTCTTTTCAAGTTTTTTTGGGATCCCTAATACCCTAGTTCTGAGTAAAGGACTTAAAGTGGACCCACACATATACCCGTCAATCGATAGAGCACCTTTGATAACCCTATGATCGGCCCGAACATGTCAATATGTTGTCCTTCTAATAAGAGGGAAAGGTCCTTTTTAAGTTTTTTTGGGACCCGTAATACCCTAGTTCTGAGTGAAGGACTTGAAGTGGACCCACCCATATAGCCATCAAGTGATAGAGCACCCTCGATAACCCAGCTGGAGCATTACGACGACCGGATACGACCGTTTACGGCCGTTTCTGGTCGCTGTACTGCTCGCTCTGGGTAATTTCTAACATTTAAATATTATTTTTCTCACTTTTCCACTTGATATTATTCCAGCTGTTGTACGTCGTCTTTGGACCGAATTTTTTGTAATTTGTCCAATATTTAATACTTGTATTTTTCTTTGTCCATCCCATAGTTTTTCTTTTATCATTCCGCTGTCGATAACGTATTTGATCCCATCAATAGTAATTGAACTTTCTGCTATGTCTGTACTGAAAATAATCTTACGTTTATCTGGTAACTTTTCAAATAACTGTGCAGTTTCTTCTTCAGATAATTCTTCATGCAATGGTAAACTTATGAATGAACTATCATTTTTCAATTTCTTATTTAAAGCATCTAGAGCTAAATCAATTTCATCTTGATCGGTTAAAAATACCAAGATATCACCAACTTCATCACTTTGATGTATTTCAATAGCTTTTGTAACTGCAGCTTGAACATAATTTTCATCATCAAAATCCAGATAAATATCTTCGATTGGATAGGTTGTACCATCAACTTCTAATATCTCACATGTAAAATTACTTGCAAAATAGTCATAAAAAAGACGTGTGTCTAGTGTAGCGAACATAACGATAAGCTAAATAAAGAATAATTAATAAAGCAAAACTGATATTAAAATCCAATTTTGATTAAACTAACCTTCAAATCTTTTCTTTTTCTTAGACATTCTTTCATTAAACCAAGTACAATATCAGTATCAATGGTTCGTTCTTGTGCTTCGTCAACGATGACAACTGAACACTGTTCTAAGATTGGACTGTTTTGATATTCATTGAGAAAGATTGTATCAGTAACGAATTTTATTTTAGCTCGACTTGAAGTCATAGGTTCACCTCTGGTTACTTGAAAACAAACCTACCATAGACATCAAAATTAAATAATAATAATAATAATAAATACTAAAAATAGGGATGCACCAGTGCCAGTAACTGGGTCCCAGTCGGACTGGGTATCCAGTCCGACTAGTACCCAGTTCGACTGGGAACCAGTGACGACTGGGTACTTAGTCATTTGACGTTTATTTCGCTAATCGATCAATACTTCTCTCTTTTCTAAGAATGTGGGTGTGCATGTTGGTTTGATGTTGGTATGGGTGTCGTTATTGTCATTCTAACCGTTATCCCATCCAAGAAACATCCACACTTATATAAGTACTTCAGCAGCCTAAGAATCACTGTATGACAATATAATAGAAAAGAAGAATGTAGTACTTGACTAATGGACTAAAGATCAATGACTAAGTACCCAGTTGTGACTGGGTCCCAGCCGGACTGGGTACCCTGTTCACCAGTCAGGACTGGGACTGGTGCATCCCTAACTAAAAATCATTAATTGACCCACCTCTTCACCGATCTTACATCCATATTCTTCGGCTACTTGTGCTGCTAGAGAACGCGCTGCTAATTTATATGGTTGTGTACATATAATTTGTTCTAAAATAGATAGATGGTCATTAGATGTAAAAATTAGAATTCAAGAAGACAATATTCCTTTACTTTCATCAGCAAAATTTGCATCGCATAGATATTGAACTACTTGTGTACTCTTTCCTGAACTAGCATCAGCTTTTAAAATTAAAACTTGATTTATTTTCAATTTTTCAATAAGATCCGAGCGTCTTGTATATATAGGAAGATATGGTTGTCGGTGTTTTAATTCGCGTTCTAGTTTTGTGTCAAGTACTTGTTCATCATCATTATTATTGTATTTGTCATCGTTAAGATCGAATTCTTGCAAATTTTCTTCGGCTGTTGATAAAAATTTGTCAGTCGTTTCAATAAATTCACTGTCTGATAGTTGCTGGTCTTTTGCAACAGTCGAACTGCTCGTTGTCTTAGTGTCATCAGTGGAAGAAACCCGATTGATATCTTCATCATTCGGATGATCAAACGCGCAGTCTAACTCTATAACATTAGTATGAACATGAGCATCTTGCTTTCTTTTATTTGGTGTTCTTGATGGAGATTTACTACTATTATATGAAGAAGTACGGGATGCCAACGAAGGCTGATATTGGTGGTTATGGCATTCTAAGTGTGGTGCTGATGCAGTGTTTCCTTCAGTATTTTCAGAGGAAAAGGCCATTTTGTGGTCAATTGATCTACCATTCGGATGATTAAAATGGCAATCAAGTCGAGTACAATTTATATCATCTTTGCAATCAGATTTTGTTGTCGTTGTTTCACTTTTCGGTGCATCTGAATGCATAAATGTACAATCTTTTCTTCGACAATCTCTGCCGTATTTACATGGTTTGGGATTAGCATCGACGCGTCGAACTTTTGATTCACTAGAGTAAAAACGATCCATCCCATCATCTTCATTTTTCCTCTTACAAGAACTAGATGCCATGATATATTTCGCCGCAAGTCTAAAGTTACGAAGAAATTAGATACATTGCTTAAGCTATTGTCATTTTATTCCAATAGCAATTATTTTCGAACTCACTCTGCTGTTATAAATGCGCTAGGTGATGTGTTGCAGGTTATAAAAAAATGAAAACAAGAGTGTTTAAATAAAAGTATTTTTTGAAAACAATTCACTCATTTTTTCTCTCTACGTGACACAGTCATACTACTTATCAGCAAGAAAGAAGCATTGTTTTCTATTGACACAGTTTTCATTTGCATGCAACTAGTTTACAAGAAAGAAAAAAAATTCATGAAAATAGAACGAAGAAAAAGCTAGAAGACATTGTTTATTTTGTTTTTTGATTTTATAACTCAATTCTTTTATACGAAACACGCATTCATATGATGGACAAAGACACGGAGCATGGCAACATGTAAGAGAGTGTGTTTTTGGATGCTTCTTCTAGGGTGTGGGTATGGGTGGCAGCATTCTATGAAAATATATAACACACGCC